TTTTCAATCAAGCTGCACTTTTAAGGTTTATGATATTAGAAAGTTTATTACATGTTCCTCAAGGAATGTGGTATGTTTGATTCAGTGCCCATGTGGCATACAATATGTGGGTCGTATCACACTTCTGTTATGTACTAGAGTCAATGAGCATATCAAGAATATACGTAAGGGATTTCCTGATCAGTGTGTCTAAACATTGTGCACTGTACCATAATAAAAGTCTGGAGGGAACTTTATTTGTAGCCATCGATAAATTTACCCCTAGTTGGAGAGGGAATCATGTAAGACATAAAATCTCTAAATTAGAAACTTTTGGGATTCATTAAAAACATACATTCCACATGGACTTAATATAGAATTGGACGTGAATTATTTTATTAATAATGGTTAACTTTCTTGATTATATAGTTTTTATTTTTTTTTAGAACTCATGTTTTAGGCTCAGTTCACACTAGCATTGAAAGCAGGCATTTGAATAGCATTTTTAACGCTCCTCAAACACCTATGAAAACAATACACATGGCAGCAAACGGTGCTGTTCACACTGAAGAGTTAGCTTTGCATCAAAATTAACGCCTCATGTCGAGTCAGGAGTTGAAACCTTTCAAAGCCTTCCATTCAAGCCTATGGTGATGCAGGCACAATTGAAGTGGGGCATGTTTATCCCTGTCCCTACTTATTGGGCGCGACATCATGTGTTGACCACGCCCTTTACATCCTTTGAGTGAAGAACGCATAGAGTGGAGCTACGATGTGTGACGTCATCGTGCACCGCTACGGACCGTGGCCATCTTGTTGGTTGGAAACGTTACTCATATCTGCTGATTTTCAGAGTTGTTGTAAGTGCAATACTTGATTAAATTGAATCTTTTATTTAAATACTACACTATGAGCAGATATATTTATTTCCCTATGTGGTGTTAACTGTGTGGAGAGGTATTTGCCATCTTAGACTGCAGTGTTCAGTAAGAAGTTCTAATTCATCCTGGTATCTGGGGAGATCCATCTGGCAATCCTGGACTCATCTGTTGGGCTTGATACCCACTTTGTTTGACCAGTCCTTTGGGTGGTCAAACTTTCCCGTAACAGGCCAAATGATTGGGTGAAAGGTGAAGGATTTCACTCTGCACCATTATTACTGGATTAGAAGAGTCTTTGCAGAGACTATTGTTTTAACCAATATTTTTTCATCTGTGGTGATTTGGACTTCATTATTATTCTTTATTCGATATTTATAAATTTTACACTAAGGGTTTGTTATTTGTGTATTTTTGCCTATATATTGTGTTAGCTGCTAATTCTATCTGCATATTCCCAGGCGCATGTTTTCTATTTTATTATATAAACCATACAGATAGCTGTGCCCTTCCAATGGCTGCAAATCTCCATATGACAAAAAATAAAAAAGAGAACATTATATATGAACATGTATATAAAAAAAAAAAAAAAAAAAAACTAGTGCACTGTGTAAATGTATGTAAAAACTTTTTTTAAATTACACAAAACACAATGTTATAAACATTAAATATAGACTTTATTTTACCTTTTTATGACATCTTTTCATTTGGCCCAGGCTCAATGAAGCAATTTTGCATGTTTACCTTCATCCCAATTTTACCATATAAATACGAAAACACCAGATGCCAGTGTTTAACAGTAATAGACAGTACATTTATAGCAAAACAGAGGATAATGTCCAACCAGTAAACAAATATAATGTGCAGTTATTTTTAAGAAAATATCTTCAATCTTGGTACTGTTTATTTTATTTACTACAGGCTAATTGATAAATTGGAGAGAGATTTAGGTGTGTCCCCATTAAAATGATCAAACCCACTCTGAAAAAGAAAAAAAATTCCTCCAGGTTTTGCAGTAACTGGTGATCCAGCCAGTAAAACACTTCCTGCCTTAGGGTGTCTCCACTCAGGATGTAGGAGCATTGGAGGCTCTGTTAGACAGCAGCATTGTTAATCTGGAGTGGGTAGTGTTAGATGCACTATCAGATTAAGATAGACTTAGCTACAAAATTAAAGTCAAACTCCTGATAACACTTTTAAAGGAGATACAGCAACAGTTGTATTTTTCCTTTTGGGATACAGCTTTTACACAAATAGATAAAGCTGACCATTATAATAACCCATGTCAGTGTTAAAGCGGAACTAAATTCTCTCAATCAACATTAAATATTTTTAATCCTTATGCGGATAGCTTTACTTAAAGTGTTACTAAACCCACAACAGTAAAATCAGTCTGTATATGCAGTCAAGCATGCTTGTTATACCCACTGTGGAACCTAAGGGGGTTAATCATCTGCATTGTTTAAAAAGGATGTTTGATCCTGTGTTCTCTCATCCTCCCCTTCTGCCACAGTCCCCAATCCATCTGCTGATAGAACAGAGACTTGGGGGACAAGCTGCACATGCTCGGTTTTGTGTGTACTGCTCAAGCTTTTTTTTTCTTGGGAGAGTGCATGTGATCAGCCCAAGGTCAATCAGCGCTGTCCAGACAGAGGGTCAGGGGTCCTGCAGCCTCATAGGACAATCAGGGGAGAATGAAAACTCCTCCTACAAGCTTTACTCAGTGTTCTGTTGGACACTGATATAAGTCATCGAACTGCTGATGAGAAAAGGTATTTAGCAGTTTATATTTACTAAAATAATTGTATTTCCATGTTCTGTGTACTGTGGGAGACCAGATATAGTGAACACAGTGTCCTGGGTTTAGTAACAATTTAATAGATAGGAATGTAATTATATTTACTTGTTTTAGACATTTTTCCTTTTACATTTCTTTAGTTGCTTTGTGGTTTCTGGTCTAAGCAAAATTAGGTTATACATCTCATGAGTCTTCATGGACATTTTTTTTTCCTTTCATTTGGAGGAGGGGCTCTCTCAGCTAAGCATACCCTCCTGTCTACATACTTGAGATAAGGGCAGATGGATTCCAGGAAGTGAATGCTACATGAATCATCTGTCCTCATTCAAGATGGTCACAGCTAGAAATGCTAGGGGGTGTGTGTTTCAAAGAGCTTTCTCAACTAAATAAAGCATGGAGACATGGATGGGTGAGTTTACTTTATTATAAAAAATTAATCAAATAGTATTTTCAGTTTGTGATGCTCAGATACAGTTTAAGTTCCGCTTTAAATGGTTTGTCTCAACCTTCCAACTGCCACTTTTGCCAGACAGCCTGATCTGTTAAAGAAAGCTGAAAAATGACAGACTTACTGGCTGGATCACCAGGTGAAATTAAAGGAATACATTTCTAAAAGAAAAAAAAAAAATGAATGCAGCCAACAAATCTAAGAATTGATCAGCTGCAAGATCATATGTTTTCCATGGGTTTAATACCACTTTAAAATAAAACTGTGTTAGAAAAAAAGTCTATCCCCAAGAGAGCGCAGTATGTTCATTAAAACCTAACAAAGGTTGTAACCGATATACAAGGTTCTATTGGGGAGCTCTTGCTTTACAAAGTTTCTTGCTGACAACATGGTTACCAGAACAGGAAGCGAGGAATGCATCAGTTCAAACCTGAAAATGGTTGTAACCAATCACCACACTATAGAACAACCAAGAAAAATAAAAGTGGTTAGCCTGGTATTACATTTAATTATTTCTGTACAGGGCCACTTTATTTACTGACATATATTCAGCTAAAAGGAAATAAATTGAGTAAGTGTCCTACCTGAATGTATTCATCCACAGAACCTGTGTTTTTATGTGTGTCAGTAATATTTGGAACATTTAGATTATTAAAGTGGGGCAAATTTAAAAAAAGATGTACAGTTCTCCCCACCCTATCCAACAGCCTATGTACCTATTCATTTGTTTTTGCATTCTCATTTAAGAAGTTTCGAAAGCTACTGTTGGTCTTAGTGTTCTGATGGCTAATAATTAGCAGCAGTCAACACAGCTTTAGTGTCCTCTAAGGATGTATCTTTCTGTTACATCCTTTGGTCTCTATACAATTGAATGGCTGAAAAGTTTCCCAGTAGAAAAACTTCAATTCTTATCTGTATTTTACTAAAGTGCAGTTCCTGCAAGTTTATTATGTGCAACCAATTAAAAAAAAATGATAACGGATATTTTCAACATGCTAGGCTACTTATATATTAATCTGAGACTTATACATGAATTTCTAACTGTCAAAGTTTTAATAGTTCAAAATTTTTTTTTTTTTTTCTTGCATCACATCACAAATTAACTTGTGTGTAGCTTGAATAACAGTCCGTACTATAGAATGCCAGCAGTAAAACTGGTAAAGGTTGGTTCAACAAGCATAAAAATAAAATGCTTTTTGTTGTGTGCAGGGATATCTAGACGTTTATGGGCACAGCAATGTAAACATATAAAGCCAACGTTAGCAATTTCATAAGATACAGGCTGACAGTACCCCCTCCTATTAATGTTTAAGAAAAAAGCATTTCAACAATATAAAGCAAAACACAAAATATATAAAAACTCCCTTCATATAAAAGATTTCAACAACACAGTAGAGTCAGCAAATTTATACTGTATAAGTTATTGCAGAGAACTTGGTGCTTGTTCAGCCCCAAAAGAAGACACTGTGCATCAACGATGTCTAGAACTATAGCAAGTCGTAGAAATAACAATGAGATATTCATTCCAAATACATAATCCACAACCTCCCCTAAAAGCTTCTCCATTTTTCATTTTACCTGCTCCTCAATCCAGCATGGTAGTGCAATTAAAAATATACTTCAAAGACTGTGTTTAACGGAAATTAAATAAGATTTATATTAAAAAGGCACATAGAGGAAACAAATTTCAAGGTTATCTCCAGGAAGTCACTGTACTAGTAATGTAAGCTGAACCATGGGCAAATCTGAAATGGTGATTTCCAGTAACAACCAAAAGCAGAAGTTTGTTGAATACATGGTTCTCTATGAAAAACATGATTTATGATATACTGCAAACTTATGCCACACTATGTTGTGCCAGTGGGCAGAATGGACTAACCAATCGTTTTAAGTCATTTTAAGTGCTTAGCCGTTTGTCTGGTCTTGGTACACATTTGGTGATCGCTATTCTCCACAGGGCTGGTGCCAGCAGAAGACTTAATGTTGTCACACTCAAGATAAGGAGGTACACCTAAAATTAAAATACAAAATTTTTTTTAACAGTGTCATTTAAAAACATACTTACATGCAGACTATTGTCAGCCTTATTGCAAAAACACAACAGCAATTAACTAAGGCAGGTCATAGACGATGCAATTTTCTTTCCTGCAACCATGGGGTATATGCGGCAGGGAGCCATCGCTGCCGGGAGAACACAATGATTATTGCTAGTAGCTATAATTGCATGAAAAACCCAACAGGTTGGTTGTACCAAAGTCGTACAAAATCGAATTTGGTACAATCAGGCTGCCCATTGATGGTTCAAATCTCAGTCGGTCCCTGCCTAACATAGATTCTACCCATCTATGGCCGGCTTAAGGAAATTGCTCCCTACCATTTTTAATCCCAAAATTGATTTGCTGGGAACATATTCTGCAGTTGGTATGCGACGACAGACACTGGGATCCCAAATCAATCTGGTCAGCACCAGGCAGACTCAACTAAATCATCTTAAACAGAAAAATTATTCTGCTTTCTGACTACTTTTTCCTGATACTAACTCTGTATGGGCGCTTAACATGTATGTAAATTCAGTAAAAAAAATCATGTTAATGTCATTTTAAAAAGTAGTTTTCAAGATTTTTAAATCTAGAGCTTTCATTAAAATAACCTGGTATTAGTGACATGAGGGTTCATGTTCAGGAATCCCCTTTGTTATGGGAGTGACAATGTTCTGTCCCTGTCTAATCTCTCTGCTGTGTCCAGTAGGGACAATAAGTAGCCGAGCTACTGCTCACTGTGCAAGCATGTTTAACCGTTGTCAGGAAGCCGTCCCTTAGCAATGACATGCATGCGTTCTTGGACCACAAGCAAGCAGACAGAAAGTGGGTGCAAAGTGGAAGCATTAGATCAGTACTCCTGAAATACAAAACAGGGTTTAATAAGGTGAAAACCATATTTTCCAAAAGAAAAATGGCAAATTATTATTTGTCATTACAGCAAACACTTAAGGCAACCTACATATCATGCAGATAGGGTTTTCATCTACTTTAAAGAAGGTCACACATGATAAATAGTAGTCAGATGTTTGGAGTTACTCCAAGAGTTACTCCAAGAATGATTAGCTGGGGATGTTCCATTGTCTTAACATCCCTACACATAAATCCCACTGGTCAATACAGTTGAAAATATAAGTGTCGAAAGCTTTCTATATTTGCCCTACTCTTCCTTTACACCGTCACTTTTTTTTAGCTCTTTAAATTACCCCATACTTTTATTTTATACTTATGAGAAACAGTTTATTTTGTGGAAACAAAAATGCAACATAGGAAAACATGTAGCCCAGGTCTAGGTGTTTACATGAAACCTCCTTTGAGCAAAATAGCACTTAAAAGACAGGAGCTGTTTATGGGTGAGAAAAACTGCTGCATTCCATGGCCAAAAGGCGCAATGTAATGACACCTACATCTTTGGAATTTAACTAGCATTTTAATGCTACCACTTTACACCCACTTTACACCAAGTGAGTTTTCACATGCAATAGGGGGTCAGCAGTAGCCAAATGATTTCACACCATCAAGTGTCTGAAGGCAGAAAACTGGCAAGGATACAGGAATTTCATTTACATAATACTACAATGAGGTGACACAGTAGTTGTACAATAGATTTGATATATTTAACACCATATTCAGAGCCGGATCAGACATATGTGATTTGGATGTGTTTTGAACCACATGGCTCCGCCCCGCTCCCCGATCCCTCCTCATAACATCTGATCAACAGTAGCAGGCGCAAATGACACCTGCTGTGCCCAAGTTCCAGATGGGGGAGGGAAATAAATAGTGGGGTGTTTGCTACTGCAGTCCTTTAGAACCTTTTTAACACTGGCTAACTTCCAGATTCCTTGCCCTGGTTAGCAGCATAATGCAACACAAGTGAGAACTGTTCTATTATATGGGCAAGTAAGAACTGTGGCTATGGGCAAACAAAAGATCAAATATATTGCGATTTTACACATATATATATATATATATATATATATATATATATATATATATACACACACACACACACACACACACACACACACACACACACACATACAAGTATCTAACAGAAATGAGTACACCCCTCACATTTCTGTAAATATTTTATTCTATCTTTTCATGTGACAACACTGAGGAAATGACACTTTGCTACAATGTAAAGTAGTGAGTGTACAGCTTGTATAACAGTGTAAATTTGCTGTCCCCTCAAAATAACTCAAACACACAGCCATTAATGTCTAAACCGCTGGCAACAAAAGTGAGTATACCCCTAAGTGAAAATGTCCAACTTGGGCCCAAAGGGTCAATATTTTGCGTGGCCACCATTATTTTCCAGCACTGCCTTAACCCTCTTGGGTATGGAGTTCACCAGAGCTTCACAGGTTGCCACTGGAGTCCTCTTCCACTCCTCCATGACAACATCACGGAGCTGGTGGATGTTAGAGACCTTACACTTCTCTACCTTCCATTTGAGGATGCCCCATAGATGCTCAATAGGGTTTAGGTCTGGAGACATGCTTGGCCAGTCCATCACCTTTACCCTCAGCTTCTTTAGCAAGGCAGTGGTCGTCTTGGAGGTGTGTTTGGGGTCGTTATTTTGGAATACTGCCCTGTGGCCCAGTCTCCGCTTCAGTATGTCACAGTACATGTTGGCATTCATGGTTCCCTCAATGAACTGTAGCTCCCCAGTGTCGGCAGCACTCATGCAGCCCCAGACCATGACACTCCCACCACCATGCTTGACTGTAGGCAAGACACATTTGTCTTTGTACTCCTCACCTGGTTGCCGCCACACACGCATGACACCATCTGAACCAAATAAGTTTATCTTGGTCTCATCAGACCACAGGACATGGTTCCAGTAATCCATGTCCTTAGTCTGCTTGTCTTCAGCAAACTGTTTGCGGCCTCTCTTGTGCATCATCTTCAGAAGAGGCTTCCTTCTGGGACGACAGCAATGCAGACCAATTTGAAGCAGTGTGCGGTGTATGGTCTGAGCACTGACAGGCTGACCCCCACCCCATCAACCTCTACAGCAATGCTGGCAGCACTCATACATCTATTTCCAAAAGACATGACACTGAGCGTGTGCACTCAACTTCTTTGGTCGACCATGGCGAGGCCTGTTCTGAATGGAACTTGCCCTGTTAAACTGCTGTATGATCTTAGCCACTGTGCTGCAGCTCAGTTTCAGGGTCTTGGCAATCTTCTTATAGCCCAGGCCATCTTTATGTAGAGCAACAATTCTTTTTTTTCATATCCTCAAAGAGTTCTTTGCCATGAGGTGCCATGTTGAACTTCCAGTGATCAGTATGAGAGAGAGCGATAAAACCAAATTTAACACACCTGCTCCAAATTTACACCTCAGACCTTGTAACGCTAACGAGTCCCATGACACCGGGGAGGGAAAATGGCTAATTGGGCCCAATTTGGACATTTTTACTTAGGGGTGTACTCACTTTTGATGCCAGTGGTTTAGACATTAATGGCTACTTTACATTGAAACAAAAGTGTCATTTCTGCAGTGTTGTCACATGAAAAGATAGAATAAAGTATTTACAAAAATTTAGAATATCGTGCAAAAGTTCATTTATTTCAGTAATGCAACTTAAAAGGTGAGACTAATATATGAGATAGACTCATTACATGCAAAGCAAGATAGTTCAAGCCATGATTTGTCATAATTGTGATGATTATGGCTTACAGCTCATGAAAACCCCAAATCCACAATCTCAGAAAATTAGAATATTGTGAAAAGGTGCAATATTCTAGGCTCAAAGTGTCCCACTCTAATCAGATAATTAAGCCATAACACCTGAAAGGGTTCCTGAGCCTTTAAATGGTCTCTCAATCTGGTTCAGTAGGAATCACAATCATGGGAAAGACTGCTGACCTGACAGTTGTGCAGAAAACCCTCATTGACACCCTCCATAAAGAGGGAAAGCCTCAAAATGGTAATTGCAAAAGAAGTTGGATGTTCCCAAAGTGCTGTATCAAAGCACATTAATAGAAAGTTATGTGAAAGGGAAAAGTGTGAAAGAAAAAGTTGCACAAGCAGCAGGGATGACCGCAGCCTGGAGAGGATTGTCAGGAAAAGGCCATTCAAAAGTGTTGGGGACTTTCACAAGGAGTGGACTGAGGCTGGAGTCAGTGCATCAAGAGCCACCACACATAGACGGATCCTGGACATGGGCTTCAAATGTCGTATTCCTCTTGTCAAGCCGCTCCTGAACAACAAACAACGTCAGAAGCGTCTTACCTGGGCTAAAGAAAAACAGACCTGGTCTGTTGCTCAGTGGTCCAAAGTCCTCTTTTCTGATGAGAGCAACTTTTGCATCTCATTTGGAAACCAAGGATCCAGAGTATGGAGGAAGAATGGAGAGGCACACACTGCAAGATGCTTGAAGTCCAGTGTGAAGTTTCCACAGTCTGTGTTGATTTGCGGAGCCATGTCATTTGCTGGTGTTGGTCCACTGTGCTTTATTAAGTCCAGGGTCAACGCAACCGTCTACCAGGAGATTTTGGAGCACTTCATGCTTCCTTTCGCAGACTAGCTTTATTGGGATGCTGACTTCATTTTCCAGCAGGACGTGGCACTTGCCCACACTGCCAAGAGCACCAAAACCTGGTTCAATGACCGTGGGATTACTGTGCTTGATTGGCCAGCAAACTCACCTGACCTGAACCCCATAGAGAATCTATGGCACATTGCCAAGAGAAAGATGAGACATGAGACCAAACAATGCAGAAGAGCTGAAGGCCGCTATTGAAGCATCCTGGTCTTCCATAACACCTCAGCAGTGCTACAGGCTGATAGCTTCCATGCCACGCCGCATTGAGGCAGTAATTGCTGCAAAAGGGGCCCAAACCAAGTACTAAGTACATATGCATGCCTATACTTTTCAGAGGTCCGATATTGCTCTATGGACAATACCGGTTTTATTGATTGCATGTAATATTCTAATTTTCTGAGATTGTGGATTTGGGGTTTTCATGAGCTGTAAGCCATAATCATCACAATTATGACAAATCACAGCTTGAATTATCTTGCTTTGCATGTAATGAGTCTCTCTCATATATTAGTTTCACCTTTCAAGTTGCATTACTGAAATAAATGAACTTTTGCGCAATATTCTAAGTTTTCGAGTTTCACCTGTATACACACACATATATAAAAATAAAAGGTGCTATTGACATGCAATGTTCACCACATGTCAGTAACAACCCATGCAATCCATTCATACAAAGAAACCAAAACAAATAAGTTCAAAAATTAGGTGTGTAATAAAATGGAATGAAAAAGTATTGAACACGCTAACTGACATTTATTTAATACGTTGAACAAAATCCTTTGTTGGTAATGACAGCTTCAAGACGCCTCCTGTATGGAAAAACTAGTCGCATGCATTGCTCAGGTGTAGTTTTGGCCCATTCTTTCACACAGTCTTCAAATCTTGAAGGTTCCATGGGCCTCTTCTATGAACTCTGATCTTTATTCTTTCCATAGATTTTCTATTGGATTCAAGTCAGGTAACTGGCTGGGCCATTCTAGCAGCTCTATTTTCTTTGTTTGAAACCAACAGAGTTTCCTTGGCTTTGTGTTTGGGATTATTGTCTTGCTGAAATGTCCACCCGCGTTTCATCTTTATCATCCTGGTAGATGGCAGCAGATTTTTATCAAGAATGTATTGGTACATATTTCCTTTATAATACCTTCAATGACATGAAGTTTGCCAGTACCGTATGCTGAAAAACCGCCCCACACCATGGATGTTTAATCCTACAAACTTCACAATTGGTATTGTGTTTTTGGGAGTGATGTGTAGTGTCATTTGACCTCCAAAAATGGTGTGTATTATGGCATCCAAAGAGTTACATTTTGGTCTCATCTGACCAGACTATGTTCTCCCAATATTTCACAGGCTTGTCTAAATGTCCAGCAAACTTTAAACGAGCTTCAACATGCTTTTCTTCAGCAATGGAGTCTTGCATGGTGAGCATTCATACAGGCCATGGCGGTTGAGTGCATTACTTATTGTTTTCTTTGAAACAATTGTACCTGCTAATTCCAGGTCTTTCTGAAGCTCTCCACAAGTGGTCCTTGGACAACTCTTCTGATAATTCTTTTCATTCTTCTTGTCAGAAATCTTGCGAGAAGCACCTGATTGTGGCTGGTTGATGATGAAATAATGATCTTTCCACTTCCAGATTACGGCCCAAACAGTGCTCACCGAAATATTCAGAAGTTTAGAAATCCTTCTGTAACCAATGCTATTAGTATGTTTTACAGTAAGATTGCGAAGGTCTTGAGAGAGCTCTCTGCTTTTACCCATCATGAGATGTCTCTTGCATGATGCCTTGGTAATCAGACACCTTTTTATAGGCCATCAGTTGAGACTGAACAAGCTGATATTAATTTGCACTGACAAGGGGCAGAATTGCTAATTACCGATAGATTTCAGCTGGTGTCTTGGCTTTCCATGCCTTTTTGCACCTTCCTTTCTTCATGTGTTCAGTACTTTTTCCCTGTGTCATTCAATTTTATTACACATAACGATTTGTTTTAGTTTCTTTGTATGTATGTATTGCATGGGTTGTTGCCGACATGTGTAAAAATTTCATGTCAATAGCTCCTTTAGAAATATATTTACCAAGAAAAATGGTGACATATTCATTACTTATTTTACCTGCTATATCTCTACAGGCAGCGGGACACTATACATGTCTTGGATAACCTGTAATGATGTTTTTCAACATCAGAGTTTTCTGCATGGTAGAAAAAGTAAATATTTTTGCGTGGACATGGCTTTTTTCTAAGCAGTTTCTTGTTGGCCACTGACACAGCTGGCACATGCACTGGGTGACTAGTCGCATACCAGCCTTTACAGCTTTCTGCAAGCAGTGCTGTCATCAGTACACAGCACTGCCTTGTGCATTGGTTACATTCAATGCAGCAGTCGTTGATTTGCTAAAGTCAGTTGTCGGTAGTCAATAGCAGTGTTTTTCAAGCTTTTTTTTTCAGTCAAGGCACCCTTTAAAATTCTGCACACAATCTCGAGGCACCCCATTCTAAAATGTAAAAAACTAAATAGTTTTACATAGCAAAGCAACAGCTACACATGTAGGATACCCAATGTCATTTGACCCCAGTGCTGACAGAAAGGGGCAAACAAAGATGCTGTGCACTTGCCTGATGTCCTCCATATCAACTAATAATGTCATTGGTTGTTAGGATGCCAATGGCCGAAGAATGTAATGGAGCACACCGAAAACCTTTTAACCAAAAGACAAGGCTTCATCCACCTGCTGGCTAGTATACAATGTTTAGGCATATTGCCAAAGCACCCTTGAAGATACCTAAGGGCACCCAGGTTGAAAAAGTCTGGTCAAGAGTACTACCAAGGCTAGCATGATATTAATGGCATATGCAGCAAAGCGAAGTTCAGAATATGTAAACAAAAATGTGAAAATAATCCCTTGTATGAAGCTACAATAGGTAAAATCCTTAACAGTAGGCACATGCATGTACTTAGGAGATTTGGAGCATGTCACTGCTTATATGAGCCATTACATCTAGCAAAATTTTAGCACTTACCTCACGAGAAATTATCCCAGACCTGCGAGCTCTGCTGCCTAAAACAAAAGAAAATTCGCTAACTTGGGCCAGACCAGAAGATACAATCCACTTGATATACTGGCTGCTTTTTGGCAGGATCATAGACAGGACTAGGACAGCTAAAACAAACTGTTGAGACACAAACATAAGCAATACATTATAGACAATTATACAATTTATTTGATAATTGCATTTTGTATATAAAAAAGTGATACTAATAGAATTTTGGGGGAATAAACAAAAATGTTTGAGGAGAGTTAAAAATTTTTAAGCATTTAGGTTCCACTTTACATCAAACAAGGAAAATAAAATTGCTGGGACACTGGCACACAGGAAAGATGTAAGCAAGCCCTATATAACCCCTACTCTACCCAAAATGCCTCAGTTTTGTAAGAAAGCAATACACAGGGCCAGCAAAAACCACAAAAGGGTGGGACCTGTGCCCCTCAAAAGACTTGAACAAAAAGATTTCACAGCAAGTACAAAAATCCTGTGTCCCTCAGTGGACGATTGAGAACAAGAGACCAAATTTAAAGTGAATGAAAGATGTCCAAAAGCAGTCCAATAAGGGATGTACAACAGCCACTGACAGACCCAAGGTACTAGGAACCATCTGGGACACAAAAAGGTACCTGAAGGGCAAAACCAAAATCTGAGCCAGATGACGAGGACCTTAGATAGACCAAATATAGGGGAACTGCCATGACCAAGGGGAGAGTGAAAGGATCAATCTTGTGTTTCATACCAAGAACGAGATACCACCGCAAGGGAAGCAAGCATGAGGTTGTGGGGACCCACAAGCAATCCACCAAAACAGGCGGATCAACATAATTTGAAATAGATCAACAGAAAAAACTACTGGAACAAGCTCCCAAACAACAAATCCCTAATGGAAAATTTGGATACTCAAAAACAGATTCAAAAAGAAAGACCAGTTGGTCTACATGAAGAGGCCCCAACCTCAAAATCCTAACTCTTCTCATTCAGAGAAAAAAGGTTCCATCTTAAAAGAACTGAAAAAAATAGGCGCTGTGGAAAATGCTCTCAGTCAAGCACCTTAATGAAGGTGCATCTTTATTGGGTGAGACAAAGAAGCAAAATATAATAAAATTTGACCAGCCTGAAGTAAAGAGTGTGACTGCAATGGACGGCCCGTCCGCTCTGAAGGGAGCTGAGATCAGAGAATGCTCCTGTTGGCTTCAAATCACGTGGTGTCAGCGTACCGGTGTCATCATGGCAAGCGAAGGCAGTGTCCGGCGTTGGCTTCAGCTGGGAGCGTGTGTAGGGTTACCAAGACGACATGTTTTGCACAGTTGCGCTTTGTCAAGTCTCTGGTAACCCTGGCCGGCGGCCATTATATAGAAGACCATTAAAGGGAAGGCTGGCTGAGTGTAATTAGCAGGGGATGGGTTGTCAATCAGAGCGGACGGCTCATCCTAAAGCAATGCTGAATACAAATTTAAAAGTACAAATTGCAAATTATAGAAAGTGGTGCCAATTAATGGAGTGATATGTATAAGAGATTTGACAAAGTGCAACTGCGCGAAACATGTCGTCTTGGTAACCCTACACACGCCTTTGCTTGCCATGGTGACACCACCCGGGACACCGGTACGCTGACACCATGTGATTTGAAGCCAACAGGAGCGTTCTCCGATCTCAGCTCCATTCAGAGTGGACGGGCCGTCCGTTAGAGTCACACTATTCCCTTCAGGCTGGTCAAATTTTATTATATTTGCTACTTTGTCTCACCCAATAAAGATGCACCTTCATTAAGGTGCTTGACAGAGCATTTTCCACAGCGCCTATTTTTTTCAGTTCTCTTCATCATGCAAATGATTAACAAGGCAGAAGTGGAGAGCTCATGATTAACTGTTCACATGTTTCCACCTGGAGTGGCCTCTCTGCACTCATTTGTATGAGTTTCCCTTCCATCTTAAAAGAACAGGTTGCCAGCTCATGTAACAAAGCTTGCAACAATATGTCAATGCAATTGGAGACCCTAAAACAGCATGATATCCCAACAGATAGCTAAATGACCCTTAAGACTAGCAAAAAAAACCCCAAGGGTACCTCCATCAAGGTCAAGCTAAGAGGAAAAAGGGTAAAGAAATACTCGTACACAAGTAGAAACCAACACTGGTGTACAAGACACAAGAAGAAGATAAGGATGAGCAGGGATTCATCTGCATAAGACCTGTAAGTGTCTCTCTGTCTGAAAGAGAACACTTTGCAAACTGACTAACCTTGAACCAGAAACAAACATGGTCCTGAGAAGAATCAAGTCCACCCCAATCCAGTGAAGCATCCTCAGCTGAGAAGCAGGTTAAGAACGGTTACCGGATTAAAAAGACAGGAACAAGAATGGAATCTGGAGGTGGCAAATCAGCCACAGAAGAAGGACCTAATGCACAGTGTTCAGGTCCCTCGAAGGCCTCTAGAAATACTTTGTTCCCACCAGCAGAATCCCTGCATATTCTGCCTGCTGACAATCTAGGGATATACAGGGCCATCCAGCAATAGATACTTCCTGTCATACAGGAGATGGGAAGTTCCCATGTGCAGAATCCACCTGCTCTCGTGTAGTGAACACCAGGGAAGGAGAGCCATATAGAAATTCCTAGCCTCAAAGGAGGATAATGAGGTCAACTGTAGCAAACTCTGCGGTTGATTTACTAAAGGCAAATAGTCTGTGCGCTGCAAGTGCAGTTGCTCCAGATCTAAGGAGAAGCTATGCTGATTTCTATCATCCAATAATGTGCTGTTTGTTTTTTTAATTTTCCTTGCATGTATTTGGGCATTCTTTGCAAATTGAACCTTTACCTCATTTACTATGCTCTGGAGCAAGTGCAATTGGAGTGCACTGTATATTTGCCTTTAGTAATTCAACCCCTCTAGGTCATAATACGGAGTCAGAGAATGATACAACAGCCTGACAGGTAGCTCTAGGATCTTTCTCACCTCAAATCCAGGCTCCCAGAGAAGGCTGAAAAGGACTGAGAGACAACGGTAAAGGGGTGATTGCACTGGTAGGGTATTCCCTCAGCCCCTACAAGCTCTGAAGGGGTAAATTCTTTTCTGCCAGGTAAAAAAATGAAATAAAGCCCAACAAGGAGTGGGCTTATTAAGTGAAGATTTGAGCTGAATAACCTAGCTATCAATGCTGACCATCAGAGAGGACTGATCCAGTCAAAGCTTGCAGGTATTGGGTCCCTCTGAAGGGTTCTCGAGTTGGGAAAGCTGATCTTTTTCAAAGGTAGGACATCTTAGCATTCTGGAATGGGGATACCAAAAAAGGCACTAGGGACAGACATATAGTCTACAGAACTGATCAGCAGCACGGAGGGTTAAATTCATGCTGGGAATCACCCCTGAAGGCAGGTTTCTACTAGGGCAGAAACAAGGGGTTCTTGGGTGTGAGAAACAAACGACAAACCTGGGAAGATACACTACTGAATGCAAGTGAAAGGTAAGGAATGCCTGAAGAAGATACATAAGGGCTTTCACCCATAGAGGGTGACCAGAGCACCCAAATGCCAAGAAGGCATACAATCCAAGGAGCCATCCAGATATGCAGACAGATATGCAGTGGTAAGCTCAGAATGCCTACCATATACTGACTGAAATAAAGGATGGAGAAGGGTGGGATTCCTCAGCCCCCTACACAAATCTGCTGTGTTGAAACAGCAGCACACTCCGGCCACCCTTGAAGTTGCTAATGACCATGTCTAGAGTAGATCTGAAGAATCAGTGTTCCTCGAAAGGTAGCCACATCAGATACTCCTTGGATGCCTTGTCAACGTCTCTAGCAAGCAGCCCTGCACATTTGTACAGACATCAGTCCCATGAGAGAAAAGTTTAGATGCTTGTAACATCTCAACATGCTGTTGAGGGTTTCAGATTGCCTGAAGTTGGACAATGGAAACACACCAGACATCTACATGCTGCTTCAAGGAGCAAGAGCACCAGTGGAATGGAGGATTCCTACAGGCTGAATTGCAGAAAAAGAGAACACAGAGTGTTTGTAACACTTCATCCAATGGATAATATCAGCACTCAGTCCCTCAGCCTTAAGCCTTACCACAGTCAACTGGCACTCAACAGTACAATAGTGAGGTAGACTCTGATGCTTTAGCTTGACCAGTCTTACTCACTGAGTCTTCAGAGATGGGGTCATATCTGGGCTCTGCCACAGATCTGGACCCAGACATTGATTAGAAGCTAACACAGCACACTACAGAGCCCAATGCCCAAAAGTCACATTCCAGCTAGCCCCATATATCCAGTCCAGAGGGATCAAAGTACAACCTCCAAAATCTAACACGGAGGTGTTGCTCATCCAGACAGCTGCTATGTAGAGACTAGCTCAAGCATTGGTGTGACAAGGAACCTTGATTAAAATTACCAAGGAAAAAGCCACCAGTGATGCAGCACAAATTTTAAATTAAGTTACAATGGAAAAATACCACACAGCTAAAAAGCTAGCAAAAAATTAGACTTTTTTCATCTGAGCTGAAGAAAATGCATCCAAATTCCTGGCCAAATTGAAGAGGGATTGTATGAGAGCTTAATTACATTTCCGTTTGCCAGTGTCCCAACCTCCTGTAGGTTGCAGTATAACCAGACTGTTTCTGAATTTCTTTGTCCCTCATCGAACGATGGAGAAAATATTCATTTTTACTTGGCTGCCATAGGTTACTGCATTTTGCTCCTTGCTTTCTTCAGTACTAAAACAAACAAATACTATAATGTGACAGCAGAAATCCTAGTATCACGGCCAAATTCTGCATTTTTCCACACAATATGCACTAAATACTGCACATTTCCACAAAACAAATAAGCAAACTTTCAAGAGGAAAAAAACAGCTTCTGTCCAACTATAACCAAACCATCTCTATGGGGATGGTATACTATGCATCATTCTTTAGTTATGCAATCTTTCTGAGAATCTGTGATGACGATCACACTGAGTGCAGTATGACTGGATCACAGAGTAGTTGAAGCGACTTTCCATCATAAGACCAATGTCTGACCACAGGAAGACACAAACATGGAACAAACCTTTCACAGCACACAACGTCAAAATGAGCTATGATCAACTGTCACCATTTCATAGAACTTTCACAGTAGGATGACAAGCATTCGTTTACCAATGTTATTTTAAATTCACGTAAAACTAGTTCTGCTTTTTTAACAGTTGTCAGTGCTTTACAGCTTTATGATCCCAAGTAGCAAAATTAAATTAACTGAAGTTCTACACACTGCTCTTTTTTCCTGCAAACTGTCAGTCTAGAAGCGTGCTACTAAACAAGCAAGCTTGTTTAAGGTCTATATGATGTGTTCATACATAAATATTATAGAAATTACCTTTCTAGTGCAGGGTCCTGTTGTCCCTTGTCAAAGAATATTCTGCGTTTAAAAGTTGAAACCGATTTTGGTGTAGTTTCAAAATATATAAAGCAGCAGATACGATAGCAACATATGCATTATAATATTTCCACTGAAAACACAGATGATGTACTGTAGGCGCATCATATAAATATCAAGGTTTGCCCCTGAATAATACGGTTATAGTGACACTTTATTACTTCAATGAAAAAAATATCTCACCTTCATTAGCACCAGTGTCAAAGTTAGGGACAACAGAATAGTCAACTCATAAATTACAAATGTTGGGAATACATGAAGCCCTATAAGAATAAATACAAAAATATATAAATAATATTTTATTAATGGAAAAGAGCTTAATGGTAACAAACAGGATTTTCAACATTACATTTTTTTTCTCAGATTTGAAGTAAAACATTTTTTTTTTAAAAAAGCCACAGCAGGGAGGAGGAGGGAGTGTTCTAGAATGTGAAGAATGTACCATGGAAGACTTCAACTCTGAAAAAACACAAAGGGTCGATGTGATGTTATCGGACAACCGAAAGGGTCCCCGAAAGATTGATTCAATTGTTTTCTGACTTTGTTATGCAGAGATATTTTTACCTTTGTAAGTGCAATTATTCGGTTTTAATAAATTGGCATAACGGGTTTTACACTATGTTAAGTGTTTGTTTATCCTTTTTTCTCCTGATACGGTGCACATGAGATGGCAGACTGAGGGGAAAGAGATTATTGGTGTTCCTTGGATTGAAACCCGTGCCCTCCATATTAGTGATTGTAATGACATCATGCGTTACATGACTCCTCTATAATCTGAGAGTCATATATTTTCAGCAAGCCTTTTGCTGTGCTCGCAGCTTTTTTCCTTTTGTTTGCACAAATCCCACGAGCGTGGTTACATTTGGGGTTTTGTGCATTCCAGAATGCGAGCAGCCACATTCTCTTGCATTTCAACTAGGACAATCACAGTCTTGCTGCTACTACCCTGCAGGCCAAAGATCTTTCTATGTCCCCCTTGCAGTAGCTTCATGGTGGCACAGACAACCCGGGAAGGACTGTCACTGTAAGAAGCAGCTGCCTGTCCTAATGTACAAGACTGCAAAATAATAATGGCCCTGCTCGCCTGTATCGTTGACCTCTCTTACCTCCTCTCCGGAGATGTTTGCTGAGGCCCAGGCTGAACAACCCTCTCTGCCTCTCCACTACAGGTACCTACTCTGTCCCACCTTGCGTCCCCAGCTCCATTTATTCCTGTTAACTCAAGAGGGGAATTAAAACCTACTCTCTCTGAAATCCTTAAAATAATACACGCATCACATTTGCACACATGGGGAAAGTGAACAAAATTTGATTCAACCTGAATATTCTTCGTACTTACATGCAGAAATGCCTAGAGAGGGAAAAGCTAGCATGGAGAGGGAAGTTAGCTCTGTGGAAGACACCATATAACTATTTTCTGACAAGCAATCTAATTTGGAGAAGAGGGTCAAAATAGCAAGCTAGCTACCTGGAAAATATGTTGCACTGCAACAAAATCAGGTTGGTCTTCCTGGAGAAAAAAAAAAAAAAAAAATGGAAAGGAATGACCTTGTAGATTTCTTGGCGCAATGGTTTCTTTCTGAATTTGGCAGTGACAATCTGTCCCCATTTTGTAATTGAACATGCCCATGGGGTCATTTGACTGCTGTAGAAATACATCAGGTCTCCTGGCTGACTGTGCTGTGTGGAAGGGCTGTGTAAATCTTAGGACTGTGTGGACAAAAATACAAATCCTTTGGCACGTAAAAACTCTCACATATAGATTTCACCTCAGTATTTAGTGGTTTGCCTGTTCAAACTCAATAGCTGCAGACAATCCTAAGACATAACTGTATTAAGTAATGGCTCAGCATGTACCTATAGATGCAAAGAATATGATAGCCAGGAAGTCTCGAATGGGTTCAATGCATGACATAACTTCATCTGTAACCATGTGTCCTTGGGAAGAGATGAGAGCTCCAGCAAGGAAGCACCCCAATTCCATTGATACATCCAGTAGTTCAGTAATCTGCCAAAAATAAAATATTGAATTTAGGTCAGACCACTACTGCTCTGAATTCATACATTTTGTAGCATTGCAAAGTTAGTTTTGTTAATTTTTTCCCCATTTCTCCCTCAACTATTTTGTAAAAGTTAATTATAGCAGCTACCATTATTTTGGTTTTTTTTTGTTTATTTAGTGCATGACCTCTTGTTTGCATAACTGAAAGAAATGGAGTCTGGCTTTAGATAAGTCTGCTCTCAATGTATTCATTGCTACAATGTTTTGTAAACCATGAGAGCACCATGAATACTCTAATGTCTTGTCATATTTGTAAATGGATGTAACGAAGACTTCTAATTTTATTTTAAATTACAAACAAATTTAAATTGGTACTCTTTATTAAAGAATATGTTACCCCAACATTTCATATTCGGGATATGTGCCTGTTGTACTATGTACTTGTGTTAAAAAGTATCTTGTTCTCTTTGTATTACTTCCTTTGTGTGAAATAACTGATGTTGCTGTCAGTCTCCCTGCTTTCCTATTTCCAACTGATCATGCTAGGCATAGAAGCACATCCATCTAAGTGTTGTTCGTTTTCTGGCTGTTCTGGGAGCACGGCCTGCTGTCAATGGCCAAGACTTGTGCTGACCCACCCTCCTGCACATCCATGCATTGAGAAGATCAATGCACCGCTGCTTCTCAACTGCTAGCTCTCTAAGAACTTATGCAACTGAGAACAGACTTATTGAAAAAAGGAATACTTTCCTTTTCAGACTCTTCTGTGCAAGAAGTCTAGGGGATTCTTCAGCCTGACATGCAGTATAGGCACTGTGGCTGCGAAGGAGGAGGAAATGCTCAGAGTATGGAAACTGAGACAATATGTCCATTTCATCTTATGTCTCAATGTCAGCTGTTTTAGATGTGCTTTCCTGGTAACTGTATCATTAAATGTAGACTAATAATTAGGATTTACAGTATATACAATGCATGTCATTTCTGCTATAAAAAAAAGTTTATGAAATTTACATCACATGGATCTGAAAGAAGTTTAAGACAGTTCCCAGTGAAGAGGCTAAAGATATAATTATAACTTAATACACTAACATATTCAAGCCAAGTTACTTGCAGATGAAAGCTTTACGAGCAGGTAATCTATTTGAAGAGATGTTACTCCATATTTTCATCAAGGTTGTGACTGTGCAGAGTTGCTGTAGGATACAGAAATGTAACCGTGCACAGTAATATATTCATCGGCAACGTGAGAAGTGTAAAGCTTACGTTTCTTCACTCTCTAATACATGTATGAACGTCACAGTGTGGGGAGCTGTAAAAAGGAATTTCCAGCATACATAAACTGCAAAATATGCAGACATATTCATTCCTGTTCCACAAAAGCCACACTGTGCTGCCTGACAAAGGAAATTCAAATAGGCACAGTACATATATATGTATATTCTGAATTTACACTTCTACTAAGGCTACCAGAAATATAATCACAAAGCATTTTCTGAATACGCAACCCTGGTGACAAAATTAAAAACTAAAAATGTAAAATAAATATACAAAAAATTACCGTGAGCATAAGAAAAATAAAATGCAGAAATTCCCATGACCAAAATTTCTTTATTTCCTTTACTTTCTGTATGCAGCTTTCGGTAATAAGGTCCAATGAGATAGGTCTTCATAATAAGACAGACAAGAAAGACCGCAAGCAAGGAAAAAAGGATTTGTCCAATCAGCGCCAGTATTCGGAAAACCTCCAGGACTACACTAGGGACACATTAACAAAATAAATAAATAAGAGTCTGAATATATCCTAAAGAGGTGTAAAGCAAGCAGGCAGGAATAAATGTATTCATGTTTAATATTAATGTGATTTAAAAAACGAGTCAGATTTAATGCATTCTAGGGCTAATCAATGGTGTCATTCTGAGAATGGCTTTCAATGTGGGAAAACCAAAATAGTTAGAATTACTTGCTGTGATATAAAGAGTACCACTGACAAAAAACAAGAACTATTTAGATGTTTCCCAGGGTGCTGAACTTTCAAAGTTCCTTTGAAATATTGTGTTTCTACACACATCTATGGCTATCCTTATTCTATAAGTGCTGGTCACTCACTGCCATTATGTTACAAATATATAGTTCCTGTACCTGTATTTTACTCTGCAACCCATAAAGGGAAGCCTTTCCCCACTGCATACAAATACTGCAGGCCCATACTTGCATTTCTATTATACATCACAGGCCTTTGCACCCTACTCCTGTTCAATCCTTAACCACTTACCCTATGGAAGATTTACCCCCCTTCATGACCAGGCCATTTTTGCTATACCGTGATGCACTACTTTAACTGACAATTGCGCGTTCATGCAACCAATGAAATCTATATAATTTTTTTTCACACAAATAGTTTCTTGGTGGTGGTATTTGAACACCACTGGCTTTTTAATTTTTTGTGCTATAAATTACAAAATACCGAACTTTTTTTGCTATTAAACATATCCCATAAAACACTAAAAAAACCTTCATAAATTTAGGGCAAACTGTATTCTGCTACATGTCTTTGGTAAAAAAAAATCCCAATAAGTGTATATTAATTAGTTTGCATGAAAATTATAGTGTCTACTATACGTAATGTGCGCATTGTGTACTGTTTTACTAGCGGAAAAGAATAATTTTTGTCTCTCTGAAAAACCAGCACTTTTGAAATGCATACTTGTCCACAGTGACAAAGTATGGAAACCTTTGGGTTAAACGGATAGTCAGGCTACTGGCATTTTGTCAGTAGTCAGCAATGGAAGTCCACATAATTTTCTTAGAACATGTTTTCTGTTAAAGTGAACCTAATTTCAGCTGCATACTTTAGGTCCTCCCCTTCTCCTTGCTGCTTTTGTAGAACATGTCATTAAGAGAGCACTGAAATTTTTGCCGGTTAGAGAAGGCTCCCTCTGCCTTAGCAGCCAGCCAGTGTCTTTGCTTTATAGAAAGCCTGCTACCAGCTAAGGCCAGAAGCAGTGGGCCATTCAGCATAGCCAGTGGATCCAGCTACTCGTGTAGCCAATCTCACACCGAGATTTCTGTAGAGAAGCAATGGATGGAAGAGAAACTTAAAAGAGGAACTAAAGTTAACATCGCCATAGTAAGCTTTTGCCACAATGTGCATGCTCCAGGGAATTAATTCATCCTGCCGAAATTGTTCACTGAATTGCTCAAGTGCTGCTCAGTGCACAATCAGAGGAAAGTTCCTAGCAGGCCAGGCAGAAGATTTAATGGCAGAAGAAACCTAAAAGGGTATCTTCTGTAATAACAGCCTATCTGCTAGAAAAAAATACTTTATTTATGCTTTAAATACACTATATAGCTTTAAGTCAGCTTTAAAATGGCAAACAAAATCCTACCACTCAATGTAAAGCTTGCTCCCTCTCACTCAAACTTTCTTGCATTGAAAGTACAACATATTTTAAAGTGTTTAAGATTAACAAACCTTTTTAATGTTGCCTTATGACTGTATGAAGAGTCTCAAACATAAATATAAGTGTGGCAATAATAGTTTCTATTAAGACACCAAGTGTAATTCCTGGTACTTGGGTGTTGCAAAAAGTTATGTATCTGAGCTTGCTGCAGGCAAAGGTTATCCTAATAGTGCAGTGATGCTCAAAAAAACTCTATAAAAACAGACAAAAGGTAGTACAAATATCATTAACTAGAAGCTTTTTCTGTTACCATAGCAACCTGCAGGCAGGACTAGTGTCATCACTCAAAAATACTGCAGAAGTCCACAGAAAAAATCTGAAATCATATTTTGTTGTTGTTTTGGACAGCTCTACTGGCGTGCTGCCATGGGTAACTGGGAAAATGAACAGGCTTTTTTTCCCCGATTTGTGCTATGATTATTCAACATTTTGCAATTAAACGTTTTAATTTTCAGCACAGTGGCTAAGTGGTGAGCACTTCTGCCTAGCAGCACTAGGGTCGTCGGCTTGAACCCCAACTATGGCACTACCTGCCTGGAGTTTGCATGTTCTCCCTGCGCCTCTGTAGGTTTCCACCCGCACTCCAATGACATGCTGGTAGGTTCAGTGGCTCCTGTGTAATTTGGCCCTAATATGTATAAGTATGAATGTGGGGTTGGGGACCTTAGATTGTAAGCTCCTTGAAGGAAGGGACTAATGTGAATGTAATACACACACACACACACACACACGCACGCACGCACACGCACGCACGCACGCACGTACGTGTAGTGTGAGTATATAAAGCGCTGGGTAACTGGATGGCCCTATATACAGCAAGTACCTGTAATAAATAAATAAAAAGGCAAAATATTTCTACAATAAATATTATATCTATTAAGCATAAAAATAAATGCAGGCTACTCAACAGAGGAGCACAGAAAAAAAAAACTATTATATTTTGGAAGCATATTACAATTTTTAAACTTAAATCACCTGGAGTAAGTGTTCCCGCCTGCTTGAATAAGAGTTGGCATTGCAGCTATGAACAGGCTTAGCTGGACATCCTGCATTACAAGCATGCCAAGTAGTACACTACTATAGTCAATGTCACCTGCAGGGAGAGAAAAATGGTTTAAAGTTTAAAGCATTAAAAAGAATACTCTTCTCTTCCAAAAGTCAATAAGTAGGTCAAACTATAAAAGGTCTGTTTTTTTTTTTTTAAATGTTTTTACTGCATTTTAACTGGATTCTCAATGTTTTAATCTAAGCCAATTTCCACTAATTTTCACAAAGGTCAGAAGAATGCAATTTAACCTAATGCCTGTCAACAACAATTTTCTATTTAGTAGTAAATTTGTTATTTTCAATGGTGTGGAATTTGATTTTCTACATAGTGAAATGCCAGAGAAAGTCATTGAAATGTTTTCACAGACTATTTTTAGGATCCTTTGTGAAACCTGTTTTTATCAATTCTTTCAAGGTATTTCACAGATTTTCTTCAACGTTAGAACAGCAAAAATGAGCACCTAAAAAGGATAAGTTCACCTTTTATACAAAAATAATAAATGCAAATTTTTTTGCAGGTAAAATGTGCATTTATTAATTTTGTCTACAGGAGCCTGGAAAGCATCATACCAGCAATCTGTAGATCTGCAGGCTTGTCAGAATATCTGCTTGCCATACGGGATGTACAAGCAAGCAGATATTCTGAAAGGAAGCTGCAACTAACTATCATTGAGCTCCACAGTGCCGTGGTAGTTCACTGAAAAACTACAAGCCCACAGCCGCTAAGGCTGTCAGAACTTGCAGTTCATTCATTCACAGACGTCCGTGAATGAATGATGTGGCCATGCGGGCGGAACTGTTTTCAAATTTCACAGATAGTATGGGGAGAAGTCCCCCCGTACTGTCAGAGGGAGGGGGAGGGGGGGAGCGACGGACAGCGTCTGCGGCTATAGGAACATATTACATGTTCCACCCTAAAAAACAGGTGGAACATGTAACATGTTCCCAAAGGTGAACTTATCCTTTAAAGTGTTATTAAACCCAGGACCCTGCATTCACTATATCTGGTCTCCCACAGTACAAAGAACATGGAAATTCAATTATTTCAGTAAATATAAACTGCTAAATACCTTTTTTCATGAGCAGTCTTGTGACTTCTGTCAGTGTCCAGCTGAGCACTGGTTAAAGCTTGTAAGAGGAGTTTTCATTCTCCTCTGACTGTCCTGTGAGGCTGCATAACCCTGTCTGGGCAGTGCTGACTGGCACATGCTGATCACATGCACAGTCCCCAGAAAAAAAAAAAAAAAAAAAAAACAATTCTCTAGCAATACACACCAAACTGAGCATGTGCAGCTTGCCCCCAAGGCTCTGTTCTATCAGAGGACGGATTGGGGACAGTAGAAGTGGATCAGAGAAGACCAGATCAAACATCCTTTTTAAACAATGAGGGGGGATTAACCCCTTAGGTTCCACAGTGAGTATAACAAGCATGCTTTACTGCATATACAGACTGATTTTCCATTGTGGGTTTAGTAACACTTTCAATGAGTTAATACGGAGATCTAGCAAAAACATTTTATAGAAGAGTATGGGCAGTTTAGAACCTATATCAAGTGTTTCTTGCCATCCAAGACCCCACTGAAGAGATTACTACCATATATTCGTATAAAGTGAGTGTCAAACAAAGCAGGAAGAGTAAAAAAAAATCTCCCCAGTGATGGCACTGACAGCAATAAAAACATTTTTTAGTAGGAAGGGGGAAGAGCTACACTTACTTCGGAGTTTATACTGCTGCCTATGTCCATGGGGTAGATTTTCCCCAACCTACTATTTGACCAGCAAAGAAAAAATTCCCCAACAGCATATGCATGTAAAACCAAACAAAAGTCACTACCGTTCCTCACTCCAAAAAATGTTTGGGCTTTAAAACAGATATGGTTTGCCAATTCTTAAAAAAAACTGTTCCGTTCTGGACTCATTACCCTTAAATGAAATAAATATGTTAAACTTTCTATCCATTACTCTCGGGCACATTTCATTTGGGTGGTCAGAAACATCTATTAAGCATCCTCCAAGTGATGGGGCACAAGTAGGCTACTGAGATTCAGCTCTAACACTAAATGTAATATTTGGCTACCTGTTGATCATTTTGCTCCCCTGGCAGACCAGCATCTGCAAACATCTAAAAACAGAAAAAAGCAAGCGCTGAAACCGTAAGCAGCTATTGCGCCAGAAAAGGCAACCAAAACCAACCTTCAAAAAGTACTCAGATAAATATAGGTGCAGCGCTAAGACAAAATATCAGGGTAAGTCAGAACAACGCGCAATAAGCGAGAGATATATATAAATAATTCCGATAATAAACGGTAAATAGATATCCAGTGACAAAGTGCAAATAAAGTGCAAATAAATGTCCATAATAAAGTGCTATTGAGGTGACATTTGTGAGCACACAATAGTGCTGATAAATCTGTATATTGATCTAGATTGCATAAGTGTCCACGGATTGTAAGTAGTGAAGATCCAGAATGGTCTCAGGTAAGTGCTCCAAACAAGTAATCATCCAGGAGATGTGCCGTGAATATGTTAAGATTACGCACTCACCGGATGCGTAATCAAAGTACGCATTTGTATGTATATTATCAGCCGGAGGTCCACTTAAGGATATGAACAGCCAGATCTGGTCAGAAAGCTCCCTTCCCCTGGGTCATCTGCCACCCCTCAGCCGTCCTCCAGAATGGGCTCTGTGATTGAATCAGCTCATAAAGAGCCAGAAAGAAGGATGCCCATAGTGTAGTATGTTTAAATAGTACTCGTTTATTCCAAGCAGTATAGAAGTAAAACACAATGCACTGACCACACATCGTGTCCGCCATTTTGTTGAAGTCCAAGATGTGCAGACATCTTGGACTTCAACAAAATAGCGGACGCGATGTGCGCACCCGCCGTGTCCGCTATAAATAGACTGCTTGATTATCATAGCATACGAGTACACCCCTTTTGAATTCTTCACTACTTACAATATACAGATTTATCAGCACCATTGTGTGCTCACAATTGTCACCTCAATAGCACTTTATTGTGGACATTTATTTGCACTTTGTCACTGGATATCTATTTACCGTTTATTATCGGATTTATTTAAACATATCTCTTTCTTAATGTGCGTTGTTGTGACATACCCTGATATTTTGTCTTAGCGCAGCACATATATTTATCTGAGACCAGCATCTGCTCGGAGCTCCTGCCTGAAATGCAGGATCACTACATTTGTGGCTTCTTTTAGTTTAAGTACAACATTAGATCACAAAGCAGAGTTTAGTCATTTAAAATACAACACAGACTTTGTTAATTTAACTGAAAGTGCTACTAAAACGCACAACAGTAAAATCAGTCTGTATATGCACTAAAGCATGCTGTTATACTCACTATGGAACCTAAGAGGTTAATCCTCTGCATTGTGTAAAAAGGATGTTTGATCCAGTCTTCTCTGATCCTCCCCTTCTTCCACATTCCCCATTTTATCTCCTGATAGAACAGAGCCTCGGGGGACACTCTTCACATGCTCAGTTTGGTGTGTACTGCTAGAGTTTTTTCTTTTTCTTGAGAGGGTGCATGTGATCAGCACAAGGCCATACAGCACTATCTAGAGACAGGTCAGGGGTCCTGCATCCTCCCAGAGCAAAATGAAAACTCCTCCTACAAGCTTTAACCAGTGCTCGGATGGAAACTGATCGAAGTCACAAGACTACTCTAACTGCTTTACGAGAAAAGGTATTTAGTAGTTCATATTTCTAAAATAATTGCACTTCCATTTCTGTGTACTGTGGGAGGCCTGACAGTGAATGCAGTGTCCTGGGTTTAGTAACACTTTAAGCACAAATGTCAGGCAAAACCTTTTTTATTGTATTGAGTGGGGATGGATTATAATTTCTGTTTTTGTAGATGTCTATAACCCCATTAGGCAGATTGTGCCTCCTGTTTATTCTTGTGACACCAGAACAAAAAAAATGGAGGGGAACTGGAGTCACCAGGAAAGGGAGGCACAAATAGCAATAGGAAAGAAATACTGCCATTCTCTTTTTATTCCAATTTAGCTCCAGTTTGGGAGATTTACTATCCTTTCCTATGACACAAACTCCATCTCCAGAACAGGACGTACTGTAAGTGGAAATTTCCCCACTGTAAATACAAGCAGTAATAAAAACGTGATAGTAGTAACATAGGGACAACATGAGGAACTACAGAAAACTAGGAAAACACTTTCATAAGTGTTAACCTAAATAAATTTCAGCTAGGGATTTCTCAACCGAGTGGCATTTAGTGGCACAGAAAGCAGCATGAACAGTATTTACTTTTCTCTATCATTCATTGAAGGACTCAGCTCTGTTGATATTAAACAACACAGTTACCGTATACTGCTGCTTACAGGGAGAAATGTAAACTATGCAATAATAACGGAAGGTCTGAAGGTGTATAATTCCTGACATCTCACCAGTTTCCTCAGGACAATGAGTGTTTCCTTCTCTGTTTGACAGAAGTTGGAAACTTTTTCCGCTATCAACAACTGCTGGTGGATTCCTGCCAGACACATTGAAATCATGGAAGTCCATTCAGTCAGCCAGCTACACCAGTAGAAATATACCAACAGTACTGAAATCCTGTATGTTTATCCACTTAGCCAAAAGGTTTTGAAAGATTCATACCAAATGTACTGAAATCTGGAGTGGTTTGTCCACTTAGCAAAAAAGATTTGCAAGATTCCTGCCGAATGTACTGACACCATCAAAGTGACTCTAGTTCACTGGTGCAGGTGTTCCCAGTTATCTATACCAATGTTCTCTCTGCTTTATCTGAAGTACAAACTTCCAGAGGTGGCAACCCATCTGTGTTCCAACTTTTAACACCTCTTCTTTAAGATCAAGCCAGTTTTGTCTGGGGATTCTGTGTTACATGTCGGGACCGGGGTCATCACTTTGTGAGTATCTGATATTTCCATGGATCTAACTGGGAATTCCTCTTATACTGCAAAGTCATACACAAAATACGAGAGGACAGTGTATATTGGTAAGTGAAAACCCCCTGCGCAATCCCCTATATAACCACCTTTGCTGCTGGTTGCTATGTGATGTGTTTCCCACACCATTATATATTTATATCTTGATGTAAAAAACTCTCAGCACTTTCATATGCCCTCAAAAAAACTTTTGAATGGAATTTGCTCATTTATTTATTGAGGAGACTTCTTGCATCCATCAACACATAAACACTGTCTTTACACTATCTTTCAAGGTCACCAGTATTTTTGTTTTTGTTTTGCTGTGGCTAAACACCACAGTTTGGGCCTCCTCTCTTCAGCTTTACCTTGGTACTGAGGGTATTGACAAAGGGTCCTTCTTCATCTTTAAATTATTCCAATTATGAGATACTTGGACAATCTGTTGCTTTGCAAACCAACCTCTCTGGTCTTTGACTCCAATGTACAAGTCATGTTATAGACCTTGGAGGACTTCAGATGGATCCAGAACATTGAGAAGTCATCTGATCTTGTTGCATCACTTGGTATACCTGGGCTTTCCCCTGGATACCAAGCCAAAAGCTTCCTTCCCAAGGAAAAATTAAAGGATCTGGTTCAGCTAATTTGATAAAGTCATTGGTCTTCCCTACAAAACTGTAGCAAGTGCTGGGAATGAGGATATCCACCTTCGAGGCAGTTCTAGTTGCACAATTCCACTATAGAACTCTGCAATGGAATATTTCTATGACATGGGACAAGTCCAACCTTTCTCTGTACAAGAAGATTTTTTGATCTGTACTTTCATTCAAGGCACCGCACGTGTTAAGCCCCTACTCCAACCGTGGGATTTACACCCAAGTCTTGTCAGTGGAACAAAAACCTCTGCTTGAACCTATTCAGGACATCTCTTCAACATTGTTGTCCCAAAAGGTAGCCTTTCTTGTAGCCATCACTTTGGCCAGAGGATCTTCAAATTATTAGCATTATCCTGTAAGGAGCCTTATTTGATCTTACACAAGATTAACATTGTTTTGGGAACCTCCTTTTTATCCAAAGTGGTCTCGGATTTTCATTTTGATGACAATATTGTGTTATCTAACTTGTATCCGACTCCTCCCAAGATTTCACTTTGTTGTTTGGATATTTCTTAGTTTTTACCTTTTGGCCACTACTTCTTTTTAGGCAAACAGAAATCCTGTTTGTTATTGTAGAATGTTTATAGGTTCTTTGGCCTCAAATTCTACTATTTCTAAGCGGAATTTGACAGGTCATTGTGTAGGGCTATGAGATAAACTGTCTCCTTTTCCCATTAAAGCTCATGCCACTAGGTTAGTGGGTACTTGTTGGGCTTATTGCCTGCAGGCATCTATTACTCAGATATTTAAGGCTGCAACCTGTTACTGTGTTTAAACATTTTCTTTTTACAAAGTTGATGTGTCTGCTTCTGCAGATGGTAGTTTCGGCCAAAAAGTTCTGCAAGCAGCTGTTTAATGCACCTGTTTGTTCCCTCAATTTTTATACAAAATATTATTTAGTTGGGCTGGTTTATCTGAGTAGTGTGCCTGCCCCCTGTTGGAACTTTTGTTGAATGTCGCTATGGTGCATAAAGCAATCTCTCCTTTGGAACGGGGCTGTGCCTGCACTGCAAGGGTTTATTGCTCATTTCAGTCTAAGGGATTTACAAAAAATACTTATTTAAATGATTATCCACTCCTGCAGGCTCCTCCTTGCCACTAGCCTCTTCTGTCCTGCACTCTGATGATCGAAGGTCCTCAAGAACAACGTAGGGCCCATAGCCCTGCATTGGATGCAGAGGAACAATCCACTGTCAGAGCAGCGAGGAGCACTGTTTGCCAGAGAGTAGAGGATAATGTAAACAAAATCCTTTTACCATCCCCCAGACAGAAATGAGCATTTCACCGCCCCACTGCAAGGCAGTTGTTTTAGTTTTACTGGAGTTGGCCTTTAATATCATCATAGCTGTGTCACTCAATGGATGGTAGAAAAAAAAACAAAATTAATTTTTGTACTCACCAAATAATCCTTTTCTCAGAATCCACTGAGGGACACAGCTCACTTCCCTCAATGTTGTCTTCTGTAGGTGGCAGTATAACCCTATGTTGTTAATATCAGCATCTTGCAAAGCCCAGTACAGTAAAGCTCAGACTGGGTGAGGAAGAAGAAGCACAATAAGCTGATTGTGCTCCATGACCAACAAAGTAGAAAACAGAAGCAAGATAAGATGAGCTTGTCAATCTGCTGCTTCGCTTTCACTATCCTGTCATAGGCTGAAAGAGGGACAAGACATGTAAGTGTTACTGCAGCAGATAAAGATCCAGTTTAAAGGATACGTTCACCTTAAAAAAAAAAAAAAAAAAAAAATTAGATGCAAACCTTCTAGACCGGAAAAAAAAAATGTGCATTTACCTTTTTTTTTTTTTTTTAACTTAGCAGCCTGGAGAGCATTGCAACAGCGATCAGCAGATCAGCTGGTGCCAAGCAGGACTCCTACAGACAGTCAGTGCAAGCTGTCTGCCTGTACATCGTACAGGCATTTTCACACAGGCAGGCAGAATCAATGAACAAGAGCCATCAACAGTGCTGCTGTAGTTCATTGAGAACTACAAGCAGACATCCGCAAAGGATATTGGTACTTGTAGCCGATTCAGTCACAGAACTCTGTGAATGAATGGTGCGGCTGTGTGGGCGGAGCCCCACACAGTTGCGCTTTTGAAAAAAAGTAACAGCTGATATGGGAAACTTCTCCCCATACTGCTACCACACAGAGTTTTGGATCGCCAAGCCTATGCAGGATGGGAACATGTTACAAGTTCCACCTTAAAGACGGGTGCAACATGTAACATGTCCCAGAAGATTAACTTATCCTTTAATGCCTTGCCAGACAGGGCTGTGCCACGTGGCAGGGCTGTGTAAATGGATGCACAGATATACAAACCCTACAGAAGGTTTTCAATATGTATACTTAACTGCTTATTTGTAGGAAATTATGTACATTTAGGCATTATGTTTTAAGATTCAGTTGAGGGCGGTGTTAAATGTTAGGTTGGGAATCAAGGACTGCATGGATAAACTCTCTTTTCTACTTGTTGTTAGCTTTGCAGCAGGTTCCAGGATGGTGAAATTCACCTTGGGATTATTTGTATTCATGTAGAAATAAATGTCAACATGAACGGTGTCTTCTTACCATCTTTATCTCCACGAGACCCGCCTGCAAGAAATCTGGACACCAAGGGTGTGCTTGACAGAGACAAACAAGTTGATATGAAGACACTTTGAGTAGGTCTGATTTGCAGAAAGTGACCCCAAAGCAAACCAAATGCAATCATCAGAACAGTCATGAAGCATGGACCCTGAACAGCTATTTTCCATACCTGTAGGACCAAAAAAAAAAAAAAAAAAAAAAGTTTAATCTGGTTAGAGAAATGAGATTCTACAGCAATGCTGTACATCTCAAAAACGTACACAGGCTAAATTCTTCTTGTTCTATCAAAGTTTTAACCAAGTAATAGACTGCCTCTTGGCCTCCGAGACTCTGCTCTCTCCTGGCTCTCCTACCTATAGCAGTGCTCCTCTCCATAACCCTTCCTCCTCTCCACTTCTTTCTGTAGGGGTCCCACAAGGTTCTGTCCTTGGACCCCTTCTCTTCTCCATCTACACCTCCTCCCTTGGTCACTTGATAAAGTCCCATGGGTTTAAGTACCATCTCTATGCTGATGACACACAAATCTATCTATCTTTCTATTCCTCACCTCACCCCTTCAGTCTCCTCTCGCATTACTAACCTACTAAGTGACATATCGGCATGGATATCACTCCACTTCCTCAAACTAAATCTTTCCAAAACGGAGATCATACTATTCCCTCCAGCCCGTGCCCCCTCCCCTGACTTCTCCATCAAGATCAATAATACAACCATCAGTCCCTCCCCTCTTGCCAGGGTGCTAGGTGTAATCCTAGACTCCCATCTGTCCTTTCAGCCTCAAATCCAATCACTGTCCAAATCTTGTAGACTTCACCTCCACAACATCTCCAAGATACACAGTTCTTAACCTCGGAAACTACTAAGCAACTTATTCACTCCCTGGTTATCTCTCGCCTTGACTATTGTAACGCTCTCCTCATTGGCCTACCTCATCGCAGGCTATCCCCTCTTCAGTCTATCATGAATGCTGCTACCAGACTCATCCACCATACCAACTGTTCTGTATCTGCCACCCCTCTCTGTCAATCCCTCCACTGGCTTCCAATTGCCCAACTAATAAAATTCAAAAGATTAACAATCACATATAAAACCATTTATAACTCTGCCCCAAATTACATCACCGATCTTGTCTCCAAATATCACCCAAACTGTCCTCTCAGCTCCTTCCACAACCTCCTGCTCTCTAGCGCCCTTGTCTCCTCCTCCCATGCTCATCTCCAAGACCTCTCCAGAGCCCCCCCCCATCCTCTGGAACTCTCTACCCCAATCGATCCATCTATCACCTGCCCACTTTTAGGCGATCTCTGGAAACCTCTCTCTTCAGGGAAGCCTATCCTGCCTTCAGCTAATAATCAAATCTTTTATCTCTCTTATCAGTTCATCCCCACATTTATTACCTTTTGTACCACCAGCCCCTCCCTCTTAGTATTGTTTCTGTATTGTCTCCCTTTATATTGTAAAGCGCTGAGCAAACTGTTGGCACTATATAAATCCTGTATAATAATAATAATAATAATAATGGGAAACATTTAGGAGGAAGTGGGATCAGGGTAACAGGTTCAAAGCAGCAAGGATCAGGTAAGCAGCTACAGAAACAGAAAAGTGCCCAGTCTATTTGCCTTCAGTAAAACAACCTAATTGTGTAGCAGGTTGAAGAGTCCTTGATCAGAATATTTCAGCTCCTGGGTTTACTGCTGAATTGCTTACAGTTTTTTTTTACTAAAGAGCTGCTGAGACCTAGCACCTTTTAAAACAGAGTTGAGACTGAGTGAGAGGCCTAATGTGCTGCAGAAAATGAAACTAGGTCTGGAGAACACTGGCCTGCACACTGAATAATGGTGTACTGCATGTTGGGCAACACTGGTCTAGAAGAGCTGTCTCCCTAATTGCTTTCTTTCTCCTCACACAGAGAGCCTGAGTGAGGTGGTGGAGAGCCAATCTGTGCAGCCTGTCAGGGATCTGTTTGTAACTGATTATTTTACTGCACATTTACTCACAGATCCCTCACAATGCATCCATATAATCACCAGTGCATTAATTTTTTTTATTTTTATTATTTATTTTATATATTTGAGAATTTTTCATTATTTTGGAGTAATTAGGTTTTTTAATGAGGGTTGTTTGATTATTATTATCATTGTCATTGAAATTGTCATTCATTATTTCAATTTTAGAGAGAATGAATTGTATTGTCAATGGTGGTTATAGGATTTTAATTGGGAAGTGAATTTGCAGCATAACTAATGTTAAGACCCAAGGATTCCAATTGGGGAGTAAATCTCAGTGGGAGTGATGCTGGGAGTCCTGCTCATTAAAAAAAGTTACCGAATCAGAATAGTGGGAGGAGTAATAGAGAGGTATATCTCCAACCAGGAACCGGAGATCTTGGTCTGTGATGACGCCTTGGAGGGACAAAACGTGTTGACACAATTTCCGGTTCCGACGGCGGAGCTCTTTCTGCTAATCACCAGTGCACACTGAGTATCCTGGAGGCTGTTTTGGATCTGAACAGAGCTAATATCGTCTGGACTTTTGTCCTTTATTGATATCTTGTGGTGGAATTGAAAATTGATCCTCAATTAAAATCCTTTTTCCCTACATTTTCCTTGCTACCTGAATTACAATATTTAACAGATGGATATATGATGCCCATTATATTTTTCAACCTTATCCCGTTACGCTTAGATGGATATTTGGTGCCCATTATATTCTTCAACCTTATTTGGACATTATAGGCCAATTAGACCTCTAGACAGAACATATTTCCATATTTCTCTGCAATTTCCATAGATGGACGTTTGATGTCCATTGTTTCCTCACTTATGGTTGTGAACGTATAGGTCAAATAGATTTTTGTTAGGTTATACCTATATATCCTTCTAAAGCATTTAACCGATGATATCTGATGGCCCATTATATCCTCTACAATGGTTTTGGACGTGTAGGCCAATTAAGATCTATTTTTAGGTCATTTTCTCCTAGCTCCGTGAGCCTTCACATCCAGGACTGCCTTGGCGGTAGAAATTTCCTCAAAAGCTCTCCCCTGAAGAAGCCCATGAGGGCGAAACATGTAGGGAGTAACTACATTTACCTAACCAAGTTTGAATCTCAGTTGGTAGTCTTAGAATTGAAATTGTTTCTGTATTTTTTCCCTTTGTGTTTTTTACCAAAATACGAAATAAAAATTATATGACTTTTAAGGTGTAGTATTCATGTCTATGCACCCTGAAAGTCCCATCTTCTCTATTGAATATTTGCAATTTTAAAAGGGATGTGGTGCAATAATCATATCTGGTCACTCGCTCGCCACTTCACTGTTTCTATATGCTTAGTATACTTTACAGTGATATCGGTGATGTCTGTGACAAGCCCTTCTGAGACTGTCAGGTTTTCTACACTGTAAAACACAGCAAAATGCATTAATTGTAAAATTACTGCAGCAAAATTTGTTGCACATGATTACCTCTTTAAAGAAGATCTATCACCAGGAGAGAAAAAAAAAAAAAAAAAAAAAAAAAAGACTCCAGGAACCTCTATGCACATGGCACTTGTTCCCAATAAAATCAGAGCAGTGGATGTTAAATAAATATTTCTTGTCTGTCATTTATGACAGTGGCTCCTCCCACCACAAAGCCGAAAATATGGGTGTTCTCATGGGAGGGAGTTGCAGCCAGCACAAAGTCCTACCCCCTCTCTATTCTGCAGTGCTTGTGACCTCATCTGTCCTGTTCAGTACACACAGGACTTCAGAGCTGCAGCCTGTTATTCAGGGAAAGAAAGTGAAAACTGTCAGCTAGTGTTGTGAATGATTGCAGCTCAAGAAGAGTGCACTTATTCACAAAAACACAAACTGACAATAGTCTAGTGTAGTACCTGGCTTGTGAATGAAAGCTCTCTCTTTGAGTTGCAATCATTCACAACACAAGTTGACAGTTTCCGCACTCTCTGGGCCTGAAATAGCAAGCTGCAGGTGTGGACCGTAAATAAAAAAAGAGAGACAAGGAGACAGCACAGCAGAGCAATGTTCTGACAGCTTAGGAAGAGGTGGGGGGGGACTGTGCAGAATCAGTGTGCACTGCGTTATGCCCTCTCTCCTTCTGCACGTTCACTCTAAACTCAATCTTCATTGATCGGTGTTGGCACAGCAGGTGGGCAGAGCTAGCCATCGGACACCACAGCTCAGCAACCCCTGCACAGATTTACATGTGGATATCAGTAACTCGACCGGACAGAAACAAAGATGGTGTGCAAAATCAGGTCACTGGCCACAAGTCCCATCAAATGCATTTCCACACAACTGTCATTTTAAGGGAAAGGAGACCTTCTTTATTTCACTTTGGAGGATTTTGTTTGTATATGTGGATTGCTATATTTAAAGAGATAGTGCACATTTTTGGAGCATTGTTACAAATATTTTGTATCCAAATATTATTTGTGTGCATCTGGCATTTCCTTTATACATTTAGCACATCATTGTTTTTAGTTTTTAATCGCAGGATCACCAGGTGAAAATGAAGGGAAAAAAGCCAGAACAAAATAAAATTAATGCACCCTCCAAATCTTAGGACTGATACACTGCAATATATAACATATTTGTTATTAGATTTATACATTTTAACAGCTGTTTTAGGCCAAAACTAAAAGTTTGTGTTTTATGGACACACACACAGCAGGGCTCAGGAGCAAGCACACACGAGTGCCCCATAGCAGGTGGCCTGCTATAGGGGCACTTGGTGGAAGGGAGATCCCACAACGCCAGAGGGGGACACCAGAAGAGGAGGATCGAGGCTGCCCTGTACTAAACCATTGCACAGTTCTGGTTGAACTGGATGGACTTTTGTCTTTTTTCAGCCAGACTATGTAACAGAGCAGGTAAGTAAAACATGTTGGTTATTTAATTAAAAGAAAAACAGTGCTTTACAATCACTTTTAATCTCGAAAGAAATATGTGGACATGTACAGAATGCAGTATCCTGAATTTGCTCCTACCATTTTGCTTGGCACTTGCTAGTGTCATGAAGTAAAGCAAGGCTCAAAAATAGTTTTTTTTTTGTTTTTTTTTTTTTTAATCTGTGGAAAAAAATATGGTTTTCTCACATACTAAATATGAAAACTAGCCTTTGGAAATGTTGCTAAAGCATGTGGGACAGAACTCAAATGAAAACAACATTGTGCCTACCAGGCAAATACTTTTCATAAAGTATTCTGAACCTTTTTGTGCATGTTATAGCAGTATGTTATACTCTTTTGAGCTGTAGATTACTAGATAAAAAAAGGTAATCAGAAAAGAATTAGACAGGTGACACATACCTTTCTCAGCCTTTCTGGAGAAAATTCCAAACCAACAAGAAAAAGAGTGTAAAAGACGCCAAACTCCCCAAGAGTTTCCACTTGAACAATAGACTGAGAGGAAAAAGCAAACACAAAATGCTCTTAATTTCCACACAAACATTTGCTCACATTTCAATGTGTAGGTGTATGTGTGTGAGACAGACATTTTATTTAGTTATACATATACACACACACAATTTTTTTTTTTATTTCTTCCTCCTCACTTCTAAATAAACAGTCCCATCAACATTTTTTTCATGTTTTGAATATAGATCGGAACAAGACATCAATATAAAATGGGACTTTTTAGGTGTGGTACCTTCAGCAGACTACATATAGAACATCCGTTAAATGAGAAGCATTTCACAGTCACAGAGCCAATCTAGGCTCTGCAGAGATTTATTTCAGGTACTTATATAGCGCCATCAATTTTACGCAGCGCTTTTACATATATATTGTACATTCACATCAGTCCCTAACCCTCAAGGGCTGTACAATCTAAGGTCCCTAACTCACATTCATACATACTAGGGCCAATTTAGACAGGATCCAATGAACATACCAGCATGTCTTTGGAGTGTGGGAGAAAACTGCAGTACCCAGAGGAAACCCACACAGGCACAGGGAGAACATACAAACTCCAGGCAGGTGGTGCAGTGGCTGGGATATGAACCAGCGACCCTAGTACTGCCAGGCAGAAGTGCTAACCATTTAGGCACTGTGCTGCCCACATCCACCCAAAAGATGCCTGACCAGCAGCTGGATCAGCCTCTTAGTGTGCCGCTGAGAGCTTGAGCCAGCTTCTCCTGCCATCTTCACAACCCAGTGCTCTAGGGAGCGCTGGAAGGGCAGAGATACGGTGACTGACAGTCATCACTCTCCGCTCAGTGGGGGCAGAGAACTGCGCAATCAGCGACCATGTAATTGCTTGGTTCTTGGTGTCAGGAGAAATAATACAGCCACAAAGGAAATCCCCTTGGAGGCAAATCAGATATTCCCTAAATTAACTACCCCTTGTAGTAATACCTATAAATAAAAGTGTCTAGTTATATGTTGTGGTTTGTTTTTTTTTTTTTTTTAAGAATCCATGTCTAGGCTTTTTTAAATCAATCTAATGAGCTCGTCAGAACCAGCTCTTGAAGAAGCCTAATCCAAATTTTAATAGCTCTTACTGTGAAGAAGCCTTTCTGCCTTTGGAGGTTAAATCTTACCTCCAAACAGAGAATGCCCCCTTATCCTCTGATTACTTTAAAGTGAATAACCTTACACCAAATTCAGTATATAGACCACTTATGTATTTCACATGGTGATCATATATCCCCTCCCATAACCACCTCTTTTCAAGTTGGGAATACATTTGGTTCAGCTAATCTTTCCACATAGCTGTTATAGGTCTTGTTTTGGTCTATTAAACCTCCCTAGCGGTCTGATTATGTCAGTATTTCTGTGCTCAAAGCGGTAAATTTTTTTGTATGGAAATATGTAGTTTTTTTTATTGTAGGCCTGTAATTTTTAGGAATAACTCACTGAAATCTGTCCGAACAAGAGTCTAGTAAACATCCCGGGTATGATAAAATTTGAAACACAAAATCATAAATTATAAAATTTAATAAATAATCATAAAAAATAATATAATAATAAATTCAATTCAATAATATAAATCAAACCAACAACATTGAAAATTGAAATATAGCGCCAAGTTCGCACATCACTGAGCGGTTTGTTTTCAGTGTCTGATGACGAATTTCCCCATGAATCATTATCACTCAATTCTGCAAGTAGTTCTAATTTACTAGTAATGGTGTGAACCTCCTGCGCTCAAAAAACCTTCAAAACTTAATTAAATAATCACGAGAAGCTGCTCACATTAAATCATATACCAATGATCTTCAACCTAAACACATGGAACCAATGTAGCACTACTCACTTAAAAACATGTGAACCAAAAAATAAATTGAAAATTATTTCCACTTATGTGAAATCATGCACATAAAGCATATATGTGAAAAAGCTACATAAATAAAGTGAACTAATCATATAAAATTATTAAGTGCTCATTATAAATGTGTGTGTATATATATATATATATATATATATATATATATATATATATATATATATATATATATATATATATATATATATATATATATATACACATATATATACACACACACACGCACACACACACACATATACATAACACATACAACACCAATGTGTATTAACACATATCTATGAACCCCATAAAATGAAGAAACTCAAAAAGTGCATATATGTGAACTTGGTACATGCACCTAAACATCAAAAATAATATTTCCGTGTATATAAAGTCCAAACTTAAAGATGATCACACTCAAGTGAACAAAAAAACACTCGTGCTGATATTTGTGTATAGAAGTGAGTTGATAGTTGAACTCATCCGAAACACCGGCTGAATCAGCCTCTCACCTTAAGGATTCGACCCTTGCGAGTCAAAGCTCTTATTAGGATCCCTCTCACAGATCCTCCAGGTAAGTATCTCTCCAAAAACTGCTCACATAGTATCTGAAACTCCCCCAGGGGTCCGCACTTCAACACTGGCTCCTTCTCCTTTCTCCAATTGGAATCAAATGGTGCGCCAATCACTCATATGAAACATAGAACACAAGCCTCCATTGTGTAATATGTTTATTATCAAAAGTCATAAGCACATAGAAAGCGCACTTACATAAAAAACATTCAGGGCTCCAATCCCACAGAGGTGTACCAAAATGGCCGCCACGCCGGAAATGCGTCACTACGTTGGGCCCAACTTGGAGAAAGGAGCCAGTGTTGAAGTGGGGATCCCTGGGGGGAGTTTCAGATACGATGTGAGCAGTTTTTGGAGAGATACTTACCTGGAGGATCTGTGAGAGGGATCCTAATAAGCGTTTTGACTCGCAAGGGTCGAATCCTTAAGGTGAGAGGCTGATTCAGCCGGTGTTTCGGATGAGTTCAACTATCAACTCACTTCTATACACAAATATCAGCACGAGTGTTTTTTTGTTCACTTGAGTGTGATCATCTTTAAGTTTGGACTTTATATACACGGAAATATTATTTTTGATGTTTAGGTGCATGTACCAAGTTCACATATATGCACTTTTTGAGTTTCTTCATTTTATGGGGTTCATAGATATGTGTTAATACACATTGGTGTTGTATGTATGTGTTATGTGTGTGTGTGTGTGTGTGTGTGTGTGTGTGTATACACACACATTTATAATGAGCACTTAATATTTTTATATGATTAGTTCACTTTATTTATGTAGCATTTTCACATATATGCTTTATGTGCATGATTTCACATAAGTGGAAATAATTTTCAATTTATTTTTTGGTTCACATGTTTTTAAGTGAGTAGCGCTACATTGGTTCCATGTATTTAGTTCTAATTTACTATCACTGTTCTCTAGCTGGTCTAAAACCGCTTTGACCTAAAAGGGACGCTTTTTCGGACGCCATGGACATTTCTCAGTTTCAAGGCAGAAAAAAGGTAAAAATGCAGGCAGGGCACAGGACAAAGCACTAGGGACAAAATGTATGTGAAATGGTTTGATACAGTAATGTTTTACTATGTGATTTTTAGTGTATTTAGTGAATGTCACTTGACAGTTTTAAATTTTTCTGCCAGTTTCGTCCCCGTACGTCCTGACGTCGCAGCGAACGGAACCCGGAAGACAGATGCCAACATCGGCCGGAGGACATCGCGGGAGCGTAGGAGAAGCTAAGTGCAGAAGGGATCCCAGAGCAGCGCTGTAAGGTATTCCCGAGTGTAGCTCGGGGTTACCACTTGTGGTGCTGAAACTTTACCCCGAGCTACACTCGGGAATACCTCCAGGGAGGTTAAAAGAGAAATATGGACTTATTTTTCCCCCAATTATACTTACATAGGTGGATGCAGCATCGGTCCGATGCTGCACCTGTCCCCTGTTGGCTCTAAGTGTGAGAACTCAGTGACCACATGACTGCCGAGTCCTCACAGCCACTCTGAGTAGACAGCCGTGACTGTTAGTCACCTCTCTCTGCTTTGACACCCCCCCAGCGCACGCTGGGCTAGGGAGGGTGAGGGACCAGCTGGCTCAGGCTCTCTGCTGCTCAGACTCTGAGGTGGATCCTGACTTTGAAGTCGGGATCTTTCCACAGCCTGGACCGGCTGAGTGACGTCAGCTGACAGCAGGCTTCATAGAAAAAGTTAGCAGCTGACCAGAGCAAACTGCAAAAAAAGAACGGTATTTTAAATCCAATGCAGAGTAAGCAATAAACATCAGTAATGGATGCAAATAATTTCTTTATTTTGATCACTAAGATCTTCTGAAAGGGTGGGCATATATGACATGGTGAACACACAGTCAAACAAAAAATTTAAAAGCAGCGAATTAAAAACAAAAACATCCTGCGTATACACTTAGCTGCATCATGTTGATTAAATATGGTTGGGAAACCATTATTTTGATAAGAAGAATTCTTCATATTTAGAGGATGATAGTGATGTATGGAGAGTCCACTTTCATAGTATTCTGAGTGATTCTATCTAAACAATTTCGATTCTTTACGGTTTTCCAAGAATGACATAACTTTAAGAGGATACTACTTTGCACTTCACATATGTGATCATCAATGTTAAATATAAAAGTAGCAAGTGGAACATATTTAGGTTATTTATTTTAGATTTAGCACAATAGTGCCATTAATAGATGTCTTCCCGTTAAAGTAATATCGGCCAACTGAGGCTGGCTATACACGGTCAAATCTTTGTCAGCATACCTCACATGATGATGATGAGATATAATGAAGGTAAAATTTAATGTTTTAATTAGATCTTCCTCTTTAAAGTAATTCATTTATTATCACTGTATTAGATTCATTTTGATGACATATCTATGAATATGGTGATTCTTCTTCTATTTATCATTCACCACTCACATTGATTCCCTAGGATTTTTTCCACTTGCCACTTATATATTCAACATTGATGATCACATATGTGAAGTGCAAACAAGTATCCGATTAAAGTTATTTCATTATTGGAAAACAGCAAAGAATCGAAA